GAAGAGGAGAGAGGAAGGGTTACAACGAGGATCTCACAGCGAGGGCTTCTGAAACTAGAACATTTTCGATATGAAAAGCTGTCGGCTATGCCTTGATAACGCTGATACCGAGTCTACTAAACCACGAAACGCACTAGGTATGAATTTGTCTAAAATTTCCAAATAGTCCGAATTTTCAACGGGATCTTCCGGAGGCCTTCACGAACATTATCCTTGAAATATCCTCACCCTTAGTATATATAAAGCGCTCGCTTATATCTGTCTGTTTGTTTGTTTGTTTGTAGGAAATCCGATATAACCTGAAGAAATGCCTGGATAAGTCGGGTCAAGTTTGGAATGGGTTGAGCATAGGGCAAGTGCAACAGAGCACATGCCTAGCGGAGCTCCGCTTCCAAGGGGCGGCGCTTGCGCCGGAGTCGGGGGGGCTGTGGGCAAATTCTTCTCATTCGGTCTCGTAACAGTCCAGACGCCGGGAAAAAAATTTCAAAGGTGAAGGATGTGTCAACAATTGAAATAATGAAAGTAAAACTTACCGGCGGTGGGCGGAGCGTTCTCGCAGCGGGCGGTGCTTTCCACAAAGATTAACAACACGATTCAACGAAGGCGTCGAGGCCAGGAAAAAAAGATTGGGCAAGGGGCATATGCGTCCTGGGCATGCGTGAGCTTAACGAAGCCCCGCCCACAATGGGCGGGGCGTGCGTTGCGATGAAAACAACTTTTCAAAAATGAATGTAACTTCGTTTGGAGACTTCTAGAAGGCGGGAAAAAGTGGGTAGAGATGATGGAGAGAATGTTTCCAAATCCTCGAAGTGGGCGGGGTTGGCAGTAAAGTGGGCGGGGCTTAGATCAAAACTTCATAATTTTACTCAGAAACGTTCTAGAACGCACGCGAAAAAGTGGTTAGAGGTAATGGAACAAATGTGGTAAAACCCTCGAAGTGGGCGGAGCTGCCACAGGAAAGCGGGGATAGGACCAAAAATTCATCCCCAAAAACTTCCTAGAAGGCGGTGAAAATGGTTAGGGGCAGTCAAAAGAAGGGTGGTCAGGCTTGCAGTCAAAAGAAGGGTGGTCAGGCTTATAGTGGAAGGAGTTTGCACTGAGGTGGGCAGGGCTGTCAAAAATTCGTAACTTTGCATTGAAACGTTGTAGAAAGCGCGAAAAACTGTTTATGTGTAGGTAATAAAGGGAATGAGGCGAAATCCTTAAAGAAGGCGGGGCTTACACCAAGATGGGCGGCGCTAGAAGCAGAGTTCACAAATCTATTCAGGAAGTTCTAGAATGAAGAAAACAGGACCGAAGAGCGCGCAGACGAAACAAATCCCAACCGAATCCAACAACGCTCGTGGTAAGATCGCCTCACGAAAGAACCTAACAAAATCGATTACATGATCTACATTTAGGATCCTCAACTTACCTCTAGAGTTTTCACCAGTACTCAATTGTAGAACTTCTGTTGGAAGTTCTACAATTGAGTACTTCTACCCACCTTGCTGTCCGGGCCGGGAGAAGAACCAATTGAATGGCTGAGCTTTGTGGTATTTCTTTATTCTTTTTCTTCTAAATGAAAAGCAATTGGATCTAGCACCACCAGATAGGAAACCTAGTACCCACTTTTTGAGCTTGATTTCATACAAATAATACGGAAACAGAATGTGAGATCACTTGTGATGTTCTTCAAGCTCACTAAGTGGCATTTTTAAACGGTTTCCATAACTAATCCGAGCTCCCGTGAGTAATCGTGCCAGAAAACATCCTGAGGAGCATTATACTCGTGGAAGTTTCCTGAACTTACTTGCCATCCTAATAGATTTGATATTTTCTTCTTCGACTATTATGGCACAAGAAAGCATATTATTTCGAGAAGCTATTTGGAAAATAACATGCTCCAACGCAAAGATCGTCAGCGACAGCACGGACGATAACGCGGTGCACAGACGCCGAAATATCCACCCGCTAACGCATGAGCGGCGAGCGCTCAACGCTTTACTCTGAAAGTGCCAATGATGTATCTCAACGTTGACTAAATGTGATAGTCCTTTTTCAAAGGACAGTTTGACAACAATTCTGATTACTCCTGCCACCATTTCGAACCATATCCTTAACAAGAAAACAAGTAGCATTTATTAGATAAAACAATATGTTTTGAAACTGACCATGCAGAAGAATCTCTTAAGAAGAAGAGTTCTACTATCAAGTACAGCAGATGGAAATGGATTGAAAACAACCGAAGTGGCTACAGGAGAGCTCTAACCTAAACGATCAAGAGGGTTTTCTGCTTTTCATTAATCACAGGGTTGGCCGAGAAATGAAATCAAAATATTGTAAGCTAAATGGTAACTTTCCACCGTTTCAGACAAATAAAGAAATGTCTCTTTCACAAATTCATAAAAATCAATTTACCATAAGTACCGCTTGAAAGGACTTTTTCTGCACAGGTCACAATAGATTTTGAAAAAATGACTCGCGGTTCGAATATAAATCACTACAACCTCACAGATTATTGACTTTTTAAACGAGCAAATAGTAGAAGATGCAACAACAAGACAGCAAGTTACGGCACAATAACAATAAAAATAAAAACATGTGAGCAAATGTCGACGTAACTGAGGGGCTGTCGATGGGGAGGTGGACAGCACACGATTTCTGAAATAAAATCACTATATGATAAGCAAAAATAATGAATGCATAAAACGACAAGTAGAAAAATACTTGCGTTTGAAATTGACCACAATGAAGTCGGGGAGGTCTACCCTGCGTAGTCATACAAAATCTTTTATTTTTCGCCTTTGAATTTGATACTGCACCTGTTTCACTTTGAAGGAATACACTACACACTAAAATAAATTCCGTTCCGATAAACAATCCCGTCTGAGGGATGCAACCCCGCACTCGACTTCCATTCAGAATCATAGTGGCGTAATGTGTGCGTATGTGGTCTATACAGTGACTTGCGGTGGCCAGCCGATGTACAAGTCAATGTTTTTATCCTCCCAGATGAACGCGACAGAGTTGACCGTTCCCCTGGGATGAAAGTCTTGGTTGGCCTAGGCGGGCATCGATCCGGGATTCGAACCCCTGACAGTGCGTGTGAGGTAGTGCGCCACATGCCACTACACCACCTCCGCCCTTCACTTCAAAAAAAGTCAGAAAATTCAGTAAACTTCAAAAAAATTCAGACATTCCATAAAGACGACCGCTACTAGCACCCATGTGAGCCGCACTCCACATGTGGACTGCAGTCGCGGGTGAAAAAAAAAGCGCGATCTTTCGTGATTCTTTTTGCTCTGAATGCAATCGCCGTCAATGTGTCACCAAAACATGGCTATTGTCCCTTTCGGAATTTTCCATTTACAAAGTTTGACAGGACTCTGCGTAGACCTCATCTGATTATGAAAGATGTTTCCAGCTTTAGTACAGGTCCATCTAATCCCATCCCTTCAAGCCGGTATTAATCAACCAAATAGAGAGAAGCACGTTTACTCAGCTGCTCTGAAGAGTTTGCTATCTTCAAGGTAAACATGCATATTTTCAAGAAAGAATACGATCTCACTCACCACCGCCTACTGTAAAACAAGTCCAATCTGCTCAGGCTTCATATCGGGACACCTCCAATTGTAAAGATAGTACTGAAGATTACCATCACCAATACCAAACTTGAGTTCTTCCAAAATTGAAGCATTTTGCATGAGATCCAATGCATTAAACACATCAAAACCTAGCTGAAATGACTCACTTCAATCATTCAGGTACAACAAGCCCTAAAGTGGCTTTGAACTAGTAAATTTTCGAAGTCTTGTAAGGCTTCCACTGATTCACACCAAAAATAAGGTTTGACTTTACTTTGATTGGGGTTCTTAAAAAAACAAGAGCAAAAAACAACATTGCAAAAAAAAAATACTGACTTTGTGAGCGAGAATCAAAGCATCATTCATGAGCTGCTTGAAAGAAATAGTTGTGGCGACGTTGTAGAATGAATATACCGCTCGAATGCTCTTATGTACCGGGTGCTGCATGACTGATGACGGCAAAGAATAAAATGATAGCATATCTGTCACTTTTCCTCCAGTCTGGAACAAAACGTTCACAGCTTTTGAAAGATTTTCTCAATAAAACTATTCAACAAGCTCGTCAAAAAAAAATAGAAGATCTGTGGAGAAATAAAAGGAAAAGCAGTAATCAGCAGGAAAATTGTTATTTACCTCTACCACGTAAGTATAGACTACATCCTCGATCGGAGTGAATACGTGTTCGAACTCCTTCTTCGTGAAGACGGGAGCTAGTGAAAATTGCTTCAGATATTCAGACAAAAGCTTCCAAGCCGAGGAAACGTCCTTCTTCTCGAGTGGCCGCAATCCGGCTGTTACCGGTGTCTGAATTCAGAAATATGGATTAGGGAAGGCCTCGAAAAGTATCAGAGAAGTTGTAACTTCGACTACAACATACATCAGGGAGCTTGTACAATTTGATCGTGCGTGCCATTGTCATTTTTGCCGAGAGATGCGAAAATTTCACATCAATGAGTTTCTTCGGATTCAGAGAACGGTGCCAATACCTGAACCAGAAGTTTACACCTCCCAGTTAGTACGAATATACAGTGAGATGAATTCATACCTACATACTCCAACAGGTTTAGGGAGAACAACCCCTGCCGTATATACCGCTTGGAAGATCTTTTGCTGATTGACACGCCTTGTAATTTCACGTATAAGAACTGGTGCTACTCTTTTCGATCTGAAAAGCTCTGCTGTGAGATAATGATATGACACAGAGTGATGAGATACGTTACCTCAACTTCTTATGAACACATAGGAAATTGATTTCCACCATAGGACGCTCTTTCTCATACACTCGAATCGTCTGCGGAACTGCAGCTATAAATGCCAGAAGGCGTCCACTTTGTTTTGCCCTCACCCCGCAATGCCACTGTGGCAGCCATCCAGGCATTTGCACAGCCCTAAAAGAGAGAAGCAAAGGATTCCATTACATCATCAATGTTAGTAACCTTAATAAGAAACAACTATGCATGGTCTGCTATAGCTTCGCTCGTTTGATTCTTTGAAATAACAACGTGAGGAAAGATAAAATTGTTGAGACGAAAATGGCAATTTCAGATAAAAAAACGACCCCGAACTGATAAGGAAAAATTTTTGAACAGTATTCTTACAATAAGAAAACCTGCTTACCACTTCAAGAAAGCTGCCGAATAATCGAAACGAAACATGTTGTCGTCATCCTCAACATAGTTCTCGGTAAGTAAAGTGTATAGTTCCTGAAATTCGCCAAAAGAAGTTCATTTTAAACAATGGATAAATGTCAGCTCAGGACAGGGATGCGTTGCCTTGCTTGACCAGTAAACACAGTTCTTATTGTACCTGGAGCTGTTTTTCATCATTCAAATTTACGTCACTCCACACAAATGGATCTGGTAAGGAATACGGCTCATGTCGAATCTGAAATCGCAGAATTTTTCCAGAAATTCAGACAGTATTTAAAGAGTATAGTCACCTTTTCTGGAGGTAAGTCGGGTTCAATGAAATTATTCTCATTCGTTGGTTTTTCTTCATCTGCAACAATCCACTACAAAGTTTATAATTCAGGTTCTACGAAAATTACTCTCTAAAACACGAACCGAACTGTGGTACAGGTTGAGTTCTCCAGAAAGCGAAGTTTTTGGCCTGAAAATTTCAGAGATCGTTACTCAAGAAATCTGTGGGGTATCGTGCGCTTAAAAGATCGGGAAGTACTAAACGAGCACAGCAGTCGAAAGTTGAAGAGATTTGATAATGATCGCTGAGAACCTCCACCACGCTCTTGGAGAATAGCCCAGTATTTAGCACTTTGAAGACATGATTCGATTGGAAATAAAGCTATACAATATCGGAAGCAAGCGCAAATTTGTGAACTGAGTTCCACTGCATAAACAAAGTTATTTATGGTGCCCTCAGGAACTGAATGAACAGCAAGCGTTTTTAAAGAGTTTTGCTCCAGAATTGAACAAAAAAAGCAACATTTTAGATTTAGCAAGCTGTTCAATTTCGTCAGTGAGACACCTTATTTAGAACAAAATCATTGAAGGTAAACAAGGCAGGTGACTTGGTGAGATATTGATCACTGCACACTTAGCCGCACAATACTTAAAGCCCTCACTGGCAACATGAGCTAGTGGGTGTATGTTAAGCGGCAGTAATAGTAATCGCTGATTGAAAGAAAGAACTCATTAATTTATTTGAATAGAAGTGAAACCCACCTTCATGTCTTGTAACTTCGAAGCCCCTCCTTCAAGCTGGGACATATCAAAACCAACACGCTGAAGCTGCTCAGCAAGTTTCACCATCTGGAAATATATTTAAGTGTCTTTCAATAGCTTTTGAAGCACACAAGAAATAAACACGATAGCGTGCTTGAACGGAATGGGGGGAGGGATAATGTCCTTAAAAAGTATGTCCTTCCTAACTCATAAAACCCCTATCACCTGAGTTTCAAAGCGGAGTACTTAAGTTTTTCCATCAAAAAATTCCTTAATCTTTCTTTCATCCTCACAGCATAATTTTACAATCGTTACCTATCCTGAACATTCAGAAAAGGTCCTCTCTTCACTGTCATTATTCAAGCTTGCTTCACACAGTTATTTGCAAAACAGTGCTATCAAACCTGCTGGACATCAGGGGCATTTGCAAAGTTGTTCTGAACAGAAGAGCCTTCTCCATGCGATTCCGTGTGGTCGTGGTTACAACAGCCACCATCACCATGCGAATGACCGTGACCATGACCACCATGCTTCTTCTTTCCCGACATGCTCTTCTATAAAACCAAAATAAAACCATGTAGAAAATTGGGAAGGAAATTGAACATCAAATAATCGGCGGAAAAACACTGACTTGAATATATTTCTTCGAAAACTACGAATATAATTGACTTTGAAAACGAGCGTACAAAAAGTTGCCGAAATCATATCACCCTGCTTTTATAAGTCAACAAAGCAAGCTTTTCTGCACAGAACCTCGATCAAGACATTAGCCCTTAATACTCGAACCAGGAAGAAATGCCATTTTCAGTGAACAAAGTAAAAAAACAGCGTAATATGCAATCGAGCCATGGGCGGTGCTGCATAAAGCAACTTCAGTCATTAAGTGCAATTGCGTACTGTGAGCCATAACCGTATCGCAAACCTAAGTTTGCTCTCGCTATTTGAGCTACTAAATACTACTCACTAGCTCTCTACAGCACGATTTCCAGTATTGTACTCAGGATACGTCTTTCAGTTCTTCCACAGCGAGATGCGGCTGTCACGGAAATCAGATTCGCAAATTTTGAGGTATGTGATAGAAACCGAAGGAACTTACCGTGAGATAGATGCCATTCGTTTACAATGAAAGTCCTATACGGTGTTCCGAATCTTCTATATAGAATTACAGTGAATAGTTTACCGTTTCCAAAAGCCAGGTCATTTGGCAATAGAATCAGTTTAGTATAAATTTTATTATCCAAAGGAATAAGGGTAATGAAATGAGTGAAAACCGATGCCTCGTCTCAACATTAGCTCTGTAGACTGAAGAAGAAGGTGCTTCAGTTGCGACAGTTTAGAGCACTTGGTGAAAATGTAGTTGGGAGTGCCAGTGCCCTTTTGTGCTCTGTGTCTCTTCATTTCTTACCCCATCTAATCATCTCACCCATCCCAGAGCTCCTCCCCTTCTAAAAGTTAGGGAAGGAGCTCCGGGGTGGGTGAATCAGTTGGATGTTCAATTCTTACCCCATCCCAGCTTTTTGCACAAGATAATCATCTCTCCCATCCCGGAGCTCCTCCTCTAACTTTTAGAAGGGAAGGAATCCATCTCTGAGACCTGTATGGAATCTGCCGCCTGTGTCAGGGACCCAGAGAACAAAAGGGCGCTGGCACCCCCCAACTACATTCCATCGAGCACTTAGTTGAGAGATGAAACTTCACAACATGGGCACATGTCAGCTAGTACCAAGATGGTAGCTGAATGAAAAAACACAAACAAAATGTGGTGTCAAGCGCATGAAAGAAGGATTAGAAATATTTAACCAGGGAACAGGGAACGGTTTAGTTGCAGTTACGGTATTGCTTCTTAGTACGCAACCACACGGTGTTATGATGGGTATTTTTACGCAGCATCGAACGTGAAAACCCTGGGACCGCAAGGTATGCTCCCCCGAAGAGGAGAGGATCCCCTTCCCAGTAAGGTATGCTCTCCTGTAGAGCAGAGAGATAGATGCTCTCGGGAGCAGAGACAGAGAGACCCGAATCGGGGCGTCCCAGCCCCGAACAGGAGAGCATACCTTACGGCCCTGGAGTGACCCGTGCAAATACGTATTGTAGGCGTTAACGGATTGCCCTACTAAATTTTCGTTTCTGTGCCATTTAGGGCTTAGCTAAACAAAGTTACCATTCTACACTGACAGCTGACAAATACCCAAAGGAATGGGATCATTTTAGCCCGTGTTTAATCCATAAGTTTGAAATACTAACGTAGCAACAACACGATCAAAATCCTGTTGGGTGTTTCAAACCCTAGAAAGTTCCGGACACATGATAAAGGAAATAAAGGAAGAAACTGATAACAAGATGTGTGCGGTCGTGTTATCGATGCCTTCCTTGGACATAGGCGACATTCCAATAAAATAAAACGGTCTACAAAAGCGTTTGTTTAACTCGACCTCGTCACAAATATCCTAATACTACGAAATTTCGATGAAATTAGGAATATAATTTCAAAAGTTAATGTGAAACGTTACATGTTCGGTTATTTTAATTCCTTACCTTACCTTTAAGGTCATTCCTTACGCAAGCATAAAGTGTATCCTTTTTTGACGTATGTGGGCTCACAACTAGTCTAGCTAATCACCTTAGGTTATGCTTATTATAAGTACCTCTTGAGATGATACCGACGGCATAACCTATCGGTATCTCGAGTGTGCTATCAAATAGGTAACTCAGGTATTGCTGCATTGGCGCGGTGCGCCCTTTTATCCCGTTACATAATTGTACCCATACAGTAAATCAACGATACGGTATCTGGGCACCGCCTACATCTATATGTATATAAACTTGCAGATTTATGTATTTATGTCGGTCACTTCACACGTCGTAATAAACGGTTGCATGTGTAGAGTACAGTCCATTTGGCAACTACCAAATTGCGCCTTCGTCATCGACTGTTCCACGCTCCTCCAATGAAGAGCAGGAAGATCTCTTGGACTTGGATATCTCCGGAGCAAAAGCACTACTGACTGATATCCGAGATCCTATTCCAACCCCTGCTCCTACTGCAAAACTGTGTCTGGAGAGGACCTCCAAAATGCCC